GAAGATGGGATCCATTAATGATGGGACCCATTGATCGACTGCTCTTGTACCTCCCCCACAAAGGTTTAAAATCTATATACATATGTATGTATATATAAAAATGAATTGCTGTTCGTTAGTCTCGCTAAAACTCGAAAACGGCTGAACGGATTTTTCTTATCATAGTCTTGAAATGTTCATGGAGCTTCAGGGAAGGTTTAAAAGGTGAAAAAATTTTGAAAATCGCGAAAAATTTGCAAAAAAATATTTTGCAGCATATTTGCATTTCCACGAATTTATTATTGAGCTATTTTTATTACACCACGTTGTAGTTATTATTTTGAGATATTTTGGGCGAAAACTGGTCTATTCCTTTAAGCCTTTATTTGTCAATTATAATTGACATTTAGAAAATATTATTTTTTTTTTCAATTGGATTGACATTGTATTGAAATTTTTATTGTAAGAATTTTAAAAATAATTGAGAAGTATCATTGAAATTACACGTTTTCCATAGAATGCCCGTGCATTTGGGACAAATGCAAGGGTGAAAATCAGACGACATGCGGAATAGATTTCTGATTCTAAGATCCATGCCCAAGATTATTTTCTTAAAATAATAATAATAGTTCCATAGGGACATTTTATTTCTTAAAGTACCTAAAATGTTGCTATGCCACGGGAAATCAAGTGGCACCATTAAATGATGTTTATTTGCCTAATCGTTGGTTAGTATCTTGAACTTATCACAGAGAAAACTAATATACCACTCATTTGCTGCAAGACAGGCATAACTCAAAAAACGTGTTTTTCGAATTAATGACGATTGTTCGCTATAATAGACCTCATGTTGTGTAAAAAAATCATATGAATCTTTCTTGCACACTCTAATTGAGAATCTGTAGAAGTTCCTCTGTCCCATATAAAGTGTGAGTAAATTGAAAACTTATAATACATTTTCTGCAAAATCGCTGTTTTAATTATGCCTGTCTCGCAGCAAATGAGCGATATGTACGATGATATTTTCTGTTCATATCAAAAGTGATGTTACCTATTCGTATTGAACCTGTGACTATAAAATTACAAACACCTCAATGTCAGGATATCTAATAACATGTAAAAATGTTGTTAAAATCAAACTTTTTATATCTTCTCATATGTATATTCCTTAAATCTGTCGGGATATTCATATTGATACAATGTTACAACACTATTAATGTTCCAATTATAGACACACAATAATGTTCAAAATTATAGACATTCAGGTTGGAAAAAGGGGGAAAGAAGAAGTACCGAAAATTAAACGCTAAATATGCATGGGATACTCTATGAGAAAATTCTGTCAAAGTCTTCACAATTCCAGAATGGAGTGGGACCTGTATGTAGGAGCTTGGACCTAAATAGAAATGTTTCCACATAAATGTGTGTTACCCCTAAATATGCCGTTATGGTATATTATAGCTACTACAATGAGAATGGATATATATTAATTTTTGGAAGAAAGATTTGACACCACATGAAAAAATACCAAACAATGGGCGATACTATTATATGGGGCTACACGGAAAATTTTACCAATATTGCTAATTTTTGGTCAAGAGGTTTTGATCATCCCAAATAAACATTACAGCCACACTGGAGCAAACTTCCCAAAATGCCGAATATATGGGAGCTACCCCAAAGGGTGAAAAAATGTAGATAATTTTAGTGCGATTCATTCTACCAAATAACAACCAAATGCCAAATTACAGCCGATTAGATTTAAAAACGTGTGGTGGATTTACACAGCATCAAAAAATGTGGGGTACTATTGGATGGGGGATATTTGGAAGCTTGGGCGAATATAAAATTACACCCAAACACCGAATATTAAGGGATACCGTTATATGGGAGCTATCCGAATATTTGGGTCAATATTGATATTATTAATTAGAGAGATTTTCTGCTCAATAAGTATTCCTAATACATATTACATTATGAGCAATTCTGTTGAACATTTTCAATATCAAATATCTTATAAGTAGTAGAAATGTATGTTGGAGGGTATAAAAACAATCCTAAAATTCCGAAAATTAGACATAAACAATATTGCTAGGCAAGACAACGTTTGCCGGGCCCGCTAGTTTTTAATATTTATGAATCCAATATCAAACGAATGGAATGTCCGATTTGAACCAAATTTTGCACAACCTATTATATTTATCAACCCCACATCAAGTGTGAAGATAGGAGCCATTGGTGTAAATTGGTGCAATCCTTCTGGTACCTCCACCCACAAATTGGCAAAATTGTGCTAAAAATTAATTTTATAATAAATTACAAACGGAATATCCGATTTTAACGAAACATTGTACAACGTATTATTTTTATAAAGCCTAGATCAAGTAGGAATTTGGGGCCCATTGGTCCACTCCTTCATGTACAACCTATTTTCTTTACCAAGCCTAAATCAAATCCGAATATGGGAATAATTGGTCCATTCCTGCAGGTACCCAAAAGGGTCAAGTTTTTCAACGAATTTTAATGTGTGTAAATCGGCCGGCAACACTGACTGACACTTTTTTACATGTTTTGGGTAAAAAAATATACCGACCTGTAACATCGGACGTCAAGGTATCCACTACATAACGGTGCTTCCAAAATTAACTTTGCCATTTTACCGAAATGATCACTTTAAACACTGTACGTGATTATATCCAAATTAGGTCATCATTGATTCTCATTTAGACGTAGTCCCCTCTCTATTAGTAAGTCCCATCTTCATGTACTTTTGTGGTCAAAGTACAGATCGCATTTATGATCCGATTTCGACGAAATTTGGCACAGGTCACTAATTTGGCCATGGACGAACCCATGTTGATATTGGAGAAAATCGGTTCAGATTTAGTTATAGCTCCCATATACATATTTTTGTCCGATTTTATCTAAATAGTGCACCAAAGTCCCAACATTTGTCCGATTGAGACAAAATTTTGCACAGCGTACTGAATTAGGTCTAGTTTGATATCTGTGAAGTTTTTTTGTTTTAATCGGTTGTGGTTTAGATATAGCTCTCATATTTATTTTCGTCCGATTTAATGTAAATGGTCCTCCAATGTCCCAATATATATTCCGATTTGCACGAAATTTGGCATAGCGTACTGAATTAGGTCACTTTGATGTCCGTGAAGTTTTTGTTAAAATCGCTACCGATATACCTCCCATATATATTTTGTTCCGATTTTATTTAAATGGTACACTATATATTTGTCCGATTAAAACAAAATTTTGAAAATGAAATTGTGGCAGTGTATTGTGCTGCAGCACACAAATGCTGTATGCCACGATTGCTCAGTTAGATCCAGATTCACCTATAGCTTCCATAAATAATTTTGCTCGATTTCATACAAATGATACACCAAAGAATCCAAGTCTTCCCGATTGGCATGTGATTTTTTAATAGATTTCAGAATGGTATGTGTAGATTTCACATAACATTCTGATTTCAGAGTAGTTCACACTTTAATTTCGTCCATTCCATTTCAATTCTCCTTCAAAGATGCTATGTCTGTTCTATCGAGAGTATATTATACATAGGAGCATCTCTCGCATATACCCAAAATGACGAAGGGTATCATATAGTGAGCCCGTCCGGCTTTTGAACCTTCCCTAATGGTTTTAATATTTTGATTTTTTTAGTCAACATTTTTAACCAAGTTGGGCTTAATTTAGCTTTTGCAGTTATTTGTATGGCCTCCCCGTAACATTCCCGATTTTTGGTCGTTCAAAGATGCCGATATGTTTTCCTACCGAATATGTCGTAATTTTGTGTTTAGCGTTGTCATTATGTAGTAAATTTTCCTCCCAGAAATAACAAATATTGATCTACCTTTTGCTGTAATCCACCTTATTTTTACAGTCCAATTTTTGATATTTTCAGAACGCAACAGTATTTTATTGAGGTTATCTTTCTTCTAAGACGTTTTGAGGAATATACAAATATTAATATTCGATTTAGAAGCTTCTAAGCTTCGTAGGACACCTCTTACTTACTTTTTCCAATTAATTCCGATTTTAATGTTCCAATATTAAATGTCAGATAACCCAGGCAATACAATATCCTTCAGCTCAATTTTAAAGCTAAAATGAGTCAGCGAACATTTAGAACGAACACCCATAAACAGTTTTCGGATCATAAAAGCCTAATATGGTACTGATACTACAACACATTTTGACATAGCTTTCTGATTGACACTTGCCTTGCAACAAGTGTGGCATGACACAACCTTCCAATTTCCTTCCATTTAAAAATGCAGTGACCATTAACCATATCGTCAATGTGACAACAAAGTGAGACCTCTCCTAATTTTCCGTCAATAGAAATTTATCCATGTCGACATGATTTTATGACATGGCGAAGTTGTTGAATAGAAATCCGCAAAAACTCACAAAACATACATACGACAAATACACGGCACGCATGCGTGGTGGCGTTGGTGGAACACCAATGCCCGCATAGCAAATTCCAAAACGCCAAGAGAGAGGGAGAGAGCAAAACAATTTTCCCATTGAGTTTAATTAAAATGTCCGTTTTGGATGATTGCCTTGGCCTAATTTTTTCTGTTAAGCTTTAGAATATGTCGTTTTTGTTGTTTTTGCTGGTTGTGATTAAGCTTTTTTGTTCCACAGAAGAAAAAAAACAGAGTGAACAATTCAGCTAAAGATAGAGATGGAGAAAAAAGTGTTTCACAATTGTTGCCACATAAATTTGCCAAGATTAAAAAAATAGAAACGCACACACACACATACTCTCACATAGATTCTGTTCACAATTCCAACTGCCTGAGAACAAGGTGTGGTAAAACTCCACACCAGGGGTTATGCGATCAAGCGACATCAACAACACTAAAAGTTTCTATCTTTGTTTGTTTGCTTGTTCATTTGTTGGAGCAAAGTGCGTCTCAAGCCGCCATAGAACCATTGCGTAATATTGATAGAGCATTAATTTCAATTTTTTGTTTGTTTCATTTATCATTGCCCAGGTACACCCAGAATATGCCTTCAGCTATGGCGTCAAAGATCTGCATACCGGCGATGTTAAATCTCAGTGGGAATCGCGTGAGGGCGATGGTGTCAAGGGTCATTACAGTGTACTGGAGCCAGACGGCTCCATACGCACCGTCACCTACACAGCAGATGCCAAATCGGGTTTCAATGCCATTGTTAAGACAGTGGGTGCCAATTCACATCCTGTCACCGACTCACCACATGCCATAGATGCAAAAAGTGATGATACCTCACAATCGAAAATCAATCACTATAGCAAAGATCAGGAACACATTGTGTTGAGTTCGGATATTAAACCTCTTAAAAAGCCCATAGAGGATCTAACACACTCACATCCGAAAATACCCAGTTTGATTGAATTTAAACCACATGCCCGTATTCGGCAGGTGCCCATGGAATTGGAACCGGGCATGCGAGAACGTTTACAGGAGGCCCGTGATAATTATTACAAAGAATTGGCACAAAATAGTTTCCAACCATCGGGCGCCATTTCACCGAGTTATGATTCACATCAGGATAATGATTGGAAAGCTGTAGTGGGTCTTAGCCAAGGTTATCAAAATATCGAAGATTATCTGCACCCAGTGCCCTCGTCATCAAACCACTACAACAATGAGCCCTTACAGCCAATAGCCAAGCCTTCGTATAAACCACAAAGACATACCGAATTCATTGCTTCAAAACCGCATTATCCACAACAACAACAAATTGTACAACAACAACATACTCAACAACATCCACAACAACATCCTCAACAACACCAGCAACATCAATATCCCCAGCGCTATCAAATAACCGCTCCAGCATATCCAGATCCTCAAAGTAATGCCATACCATTCAACAGCAAGAAGACGGGTGTAAAGACTACTCTTGGCCTTAAGCACTACGCCTCCCTGCCCCACAAATATCTTAATCACAAACCACGACATGATTACTCAGCCTATTTCCAACGCGGAGGTGGGAAGAAACCTCGCAAATTGGAACCTAAAATTCCCTCAAACTTGGATCTTCTGGAAATCGGCGAAGAAGAGGATGATGATGACGTTGAAGTTGAGCAAAACGCTGCCTCCGCCAGTCTGGTCCAGTCGATGGTGAAACGTGATAAGAAACACATGGTACCCATGTATGCCGGTCACTATGCACCCTGGAATTCTGTGCAACAAAAGAAACAAAATACCCGTCCCTATCGACGTCTATGAATGCTATGAATTGTTATTTATTGTTGTGTAGAGAGTATAGTATTGAAAACTCACAGGATGTGAGCTAAAATGCAAAGAAGTATAAGTTATTTTTGTTAATAAATGCAAAAAAAATATATATTCTGGATTTTTTAATTTCTTTCAGTGGCATTTCTAAAATTATTGATAATCGGGTTTTGAACTCCATTTTATAAAAAACAATAATTATGTTTATTTGCATTTTAACTCACAGAACAGTGTATGTTATGCCTTTACTTTTCTATTTAGTTATTAGGTTTTTTGATTTACTTAGATTTACGTTTTAATTTAAATTAATTTATTGCATTTTCCATTTGTTTAAAATTAAGATTCTTTTATTACAATAAAATCAGCATTGTTGTAGTGGTTTCCTTTGTTGTTTAATTGTTTAAGGAAACATTTTGCGGAGAAATTGTGACAATCGACCATTATTGGTAAGTTTTGGCCACCCATTGAGAACTCAAAACGTCAAATTAGATCCAATTCGTCTAGAAAATGTACCCAAATATTCTCAAAATTCCGAAAAATAAGAATACTGTCGTTATATGAGGCCTACCCCGAAACTTTATTCAAAAAGCTTGAAAAATGCTGAATATTTGGTGGTGCCATTAACAAGGACCAATATATCCTAGAAATAGTAGTAACGTATATTTCAAAGCTTTTCAACAAACAGACATACAGCAGTCGACATGAAATGTAAGTCAAGATGGACTGTGCGGGTCACAAAAAATATTCCTATAAAAATATAGTGACCGGAAAAAATAGCCCGCTATTTGCATTCCATTTTAAAGGGTAGCCCCCATATGAAGGTACATCTCAAATGTTGGCCTTTTAAGGAGTTTGGACATGTTTTTTAATTAAGTGGGCTGATATTTCATATTTTGTGTCAATTTTGGCACAAATTTTACGGTAGCCAACCATTTTATTGTTCCCAATACCTTAGGGGATTTGGGCAGGGTTTTCCCATCGTATTCCGTCTAATTTAACATTTTGTATTTTTATACCCTTCACCACACAGTGGTACAGGGTATTATGTCTATGTGCATATGTTTGTAACAGGCAAAAGGAAACGAGATAGACCCATGGTTCCTTTTGGGAATATGCATAGAATCACTTTTTAAGTCGATTTAAGCATGTCCGTCCGTCCGTCTGTCCGTCTGTCCAAGTATTTTTGTGAGCAAAGTACAGATCGCATTTATGATCCGAATTGGATGAAATTAGGCACAGCTCATTTGTTTGGCCTAAGGACGAACCTTATTGAAATTGGGAAAAATCGGTTCAGATTTTGATATAGCTCCCATATATATTTTCGTCCGATTTAATGTAAATGAAGTACCAAAGTCCCTATATATCTTTCGATTTGCACGAAATTTGGTATAACGTACTAAATTGGGCCTAGAGTGATGTCTGCCAAGTTTCGTGAAAATCGGTCCAGATTTAGATATAGCTCCCATATATAGTTTCGTCCGATTTCATGTAAATTGAGGACCAAAGTCCCTATATATATCGTTCGATTTATACGAAATTGCGCATAGAGTGATGTCTGTCAAGTTTCGTGAAAATCGGTCCAGATTTAGATATAGCTCCCATATATAGTTTCGTCCGATTTCATGTAAATTGATTTTCTTTCGATTGGCACGAAAGTTGGTATAACTTACTGAATTGGGCCTAGAGTGATGTCTGCCAAGTTTCGCGAAAATCGGTCCAGATTTAGATATAGCTCCCATATATAGTTTCGTCCGATTTCATGGAAATTGAGCACCAAAGTCCCTATATATATTTCGATATACACGACATTTGGCACAACGTACTGAATAGAGCATAGAGTGATGTCTGCCAAGTTTCGTGAAAATCGGTCCAGATTTAGATATAGCTCCCATATATAGTTTCGTCCGATTTCATGTAAATGGTGCACCAATGTTCCTATATATCTTTCGATTTGCACGAAATTTGACATAACGTACTGAATTGAGCCTAGAATGATGTCTCCCTAGTTTCGTGAAAATCGGTCCAGATTTAGATATAGCTCCCATATATAGTTTCGTCCGATTTCATGGAAATTGAGCACCAAAGTCCCTATATATATTTCGATTTACACGACATTTGGCACAACGTACTGAATAGAGCATAGAGTGATGTCTGCCAAGTTTCGTGAAAATCGGTCCAGATTTAGATATAGCTCCCATATATAGTTTCGTCCGATTTCATGTAAATGGTGCACCAAAGTTCCTATATATCTTTCGATTTGCACGAAATTTGACATAACGTACTGAATTGAACCTAGAATGATGTCTCCCTAGTTTCGTGAAAATCGGTCCAGATTTAGATATAGCTCCCATATATAGTTTCGTCCGATTTCATATGAATGGTGCACCAAAGTCCATATATATCTATCGATTTGCACGAAATTTGGCATAACGTACTGAAATGAGCCTAGAATGATGTCTGGTGTGTTTCGTGAAAATCGGTCCAGATTTATATATAGCTCCCATATACAGTTTCGTCCGATTTTATGTAAATGGTGCACCAAAGTCCCATATATCTCTCAATTTGCACGAAATTTGACATAACGTACTGAATTGAGCCTAGAATGATGTGTACTGAGTTTCGTGAAAATCGATTCAGATCTAGATATATATACATATATATTTTTGTCCGATTTAATCTAAATAATGTAGCAAGTTCTTTTGTTGCGTTTTGAGTTTAATCCAGAATAATGTCTGCCAAGTTTAGTGAAAATCGGTTGAGATTTAGATATAGCTCCCTTATATTATAGATTGATTTTAAGTAATTGACGCACCAAGAAACCTGTGACAAGTTTCGATGAAATCGGTTCATATTTGGATATAGAATCCATAAGTAAATTGTGCATCAAACTCCTCATATTTATTAGATTGACATCAAATTTTGCACAACGTACAAAATTAAGCATAGAATAACGTAGTTGCGTTTTCTAGAAGTACAGACATAGCCCAACGGACGTCCTATTGATATTTGTTTGAAGTCGATTTACATACTGTTGTTCCATTGTAACAAACGAATGATATGTTTATGGATAGATCTAGGTCTTTTCACTTTTAGATAAATATCACATATTTTATTTCATCCAATTTCATGCTAATAGCCCTGTTTAATATACCCATAGTGGTGAAGGGTATCATATAGTCGGCCCCGTCCGACTTTACTACTTTCCTTACTGGTTATTGGGTGGAAATATTCCTAGATCCCCTCAGCCTTATGGCTAATGATGTTTTTGGTATATAGGCATTGATACGACAAAACTGTGCCTCATCGAAATATCGAATTTTGACCTCATGCTTCTTTGTAAGAATTTCCTTTCAGACAATTTGGAGTCGATTTACAAGTGTCCGTCTGTCTTCCTAAAGGGAGTACCAATTTTATCCAAACTTTGCACATCGTAAGATAGATATACCAAAGGGTTTTTGGAAATTCAAACTAAAGGTATCCCAAAAGTACTAAAATGTACTAAATTTGTTACAATTTCGTAGCATGAGCATGCATAGAGCTAAAAACTTGATATTTGGAATTCGAATCAAGGTTGAGAAGTAGGTTGGAGGAACGGATGGAACTGGAATTCTGAAATTAAAAATTTGGACATTTGTAGGTATGTGTACGAAAAGTACTAAATAGTACTATATGTGGTACAATTTGTATTTGGAGGAACCGTGAGAGCTGGAATACTGAAATTTGGAAAAAGATTACCTCTAGACAGATTTTGAAATTCGTACTTATGGTACAAAATGGTATTTGAACTTCTGGGTGGTAAATTTGAATTTAGGTGAACCGATAAAGCTGGAATCCTCAAATTTAAAAATTAAGGGTATGTAGAGGAAGTTTTGGAAATTCGTACTTGTTGGTACTAAATCATACTAAATTTGGTACAATTTGGATTGGATCCTGGAATTGGGAAATATGATTCCTATCGGAATGTTGGGGTATGATTGATATTATATACTAAATGGTACTAAATTTAGTCAAATTTGGATTTGTGTGAACCAATAGAGCTCAAATAATAAAATGTATAATCAACTAGCAGACCCGGCAAACGTTGTTTTCAGAATTGCATCAATATAGGGTTGGTAAAAAATAACGAATTCATCGAAAAAATATTTTGGAACCTATTTACTAAAAAAATTACGTCAAATTTTCACAATAAAAAATATGCATAATATTTTCCTCATGACGGTAAACCTTCATACTCCAGTATATAAGGAATATTGTTATTGTTAAATATTCAATTATGTCAGTATGTGGGGTATTTCAGATTATCAATTGATCGAACTTATTCCACCAAACATTTTTCATGAGAAGGTCAAGTTTTGATCTAACTACTCTTATCTCAAAAGATAATTACTATTCCTATTTTGATAACATACGGTTCAGAAGTTCTATAAAAGGTGTGTTGTGTTCAATAACTCTAATCTCCAGCTTTTTATATTTTTCTTAAAATTTTCTTTCCGCAAATTTTTGCATGGAGAAGGGGATCGGGTCAAAGAATAAGCATGCCTGTTTTGATAAATATCTGTCAATATTTTGCTGGGTCAAATGGACCCTGACTTTTGTGTGAAAAATTTCAAAATTTGTATTCTATAGTGTATATATTTACTCCTGCAGAACATAGACCCGAGTAGTTGACAGTATATCCAAGAGGGGTGGTTGACCTTTAAATTGATTGCAAATATCACGAAATATTGCCCAGGCTCAAAATAAACATCCGCAGAGAGTTAGAGTTCCGTGGTAGTTGTGTAGGGTATCGTATGGTCGGCCCCGTCCGACTATACTTCTCCGCTCACTGGTTTATATATATATATATATATATATAGATAGATAGAGATTTTAGAAATAAGCACTACAAGAGTTAATGTATGTAGAGATATGGAGATAGTTTTGAAACACGATATTGACATTGTAGTTTTCAGTGAAAATAAAATAATATATTTGCATATCGAATTGAATAACCG